GCACCCTCCATCAGTATGATTGGGAATTAATACATGGGACTTATTTCTCATTTTAAAATTGTTTTGTTTGTTTTATGACTTTAAAAGCACAAAGGAACTAACAAAAGTATGTTTTCTTTCAGATGGGAGATGAAAGAAGATGCAGTTTTAGAGGATGAGGAAAAAGTTATGGTGGACCACTTAAAAAAGGCCTATTTTATGCAGACCAGTCATGCCTCAGAAGATAAAGAAGAACAGTTACCTTGACAAGAATTTGGACTGCACCCTCTTCAGAATTAAGCATGATTACACGTGCTGATTAACTGACAAAAAATACAGTCCTTATACATACATGTCTAGAAAGCTAGGGCATCTGTATCTTACTGGCTAGACATTACCCAATTATAGAGTAGACATTACCCAATTATTGACGACTCACCTACTTAAAATAGCCATTGTCACATGTAAGATAAGCAAGCAATATTACGTGGAAATGTGTGTGTCTCAAGTTAAGAGTCCCAGATCTTGGACACAAGAAGCTGAAAGCCAAAGTGAGAATAATTTTTAACATATAAAGTTAACCCTAGAACTGAACATAGTACAAATTTCAACATTAATGTTACATACCCTTGACTTTACATATAATAAAGAAGTATTGAAGGATAGAAAGCAATTTTTCACTGCTTTGTACTTCAACTTTAAAACCACAACTGAGTTTTTAAAGCATATAATGTGGCTATAGGGATTCCCTAAGATGAGAGATGCAATATGCTGACAAATGAGGTATACATGCTCTTAGCCATACTGATAATGTGCTAGTATGGGTGGAAGCCAGTCAGAGTACTTGGATGTCCTCTTTTGTCAAAAGCTATTGTAATAAGTAGAATACCTAATTAACTTGTTATTGTCGTATATAGTCAGGGTTTGTATATGCATGGACATTGACTGAATTTTTTTTTGGTATAGCTGTTTTGCAATAACAATTCCAGATTTGCTTTGCATCTGGAAATTCAGAATAAGAGTAGCTTTTTTCTGATAATCTTTTGAAGAAGATTAAGCTAACCTCCAAAACAATACATTTATTCCAGAATAATTCATGTTCAGCCTTATTCTGAAATAATTTACCAATTGTTGGCAAGCCCTAAATGTATCATTCCTGTTGCCTTCCTGTAAAAATTCATTCATAGCATCCCTGTGGAAAATACTAGGATACTTATTTCTTCTGTGGCAAACATGTGCTTATCTTTACAATGTAAAGTTAAAAAGACAAACTCAACAGTCTGAATAAAATCAGAAAATGTTCAAAGTGTTTTATTTGGATGTTTTTCTTATCTAAATCTACATTGTTATCATAAATGGAAGAGTCCAAGCTCATTCACAAATTAAACTTTTCACTAAATTATTAGTAGAAAATAGAAGGTTTAGCTACATGAAATATGGTATTATGCTCCTTATTGCTGACTCTCAAATTTTACTGGGAAAAGCAACAAGAAAAAAAAATTTTGTGCTGAGTGGGCACTTTTGCAACATTTTATATTTTTTTTAATGGAAATATACTAAAAATATGAGAAACAAGGTTAATAATTAAGATTGCTAAATGGAATTACACTGATTTGCTAGAAACACTTTTCACTTTACACTTACCCTTCTTCAAGAAAGGCATTCCACGGTACTTGAAAGAGCTTCTCATTTCCATATTTACTTCCTCTCTTTATAGAATTAAGAATATCTATGCAGTAGGAATTTTTCTTTTTTATAACTGACCTCTGTGTAACAGTGTTTCTACATGCCAGTGGGGTTCAACCAATCTTTAAAATATTTTCATTTAAAAAGTCAGGCATTCATACAGTTTTCTTCTTTATATTATATGCTATAGCTTTTTTGTGTTTGATCCTGCAGTGGCTTTCATATCTTTACACTCATCCTCAGTATAGAAAGGCTAGGAGATGATGTATAGAGATTTAAGTGAAGTGAATTAAATATGTATAAAATACCTTAGATTTGTAAGGCCAGATTTGCTGAATATAGGGGTAGGCACTCAGGAAGCTCCCAGGCACACATCTGCACTTGTGCCCAGACTGCAATTGAACCAGGTTGTAGCAGCCCCAGCTGGCAGGGGGCCTGGGGCTGCTCCATCTGGGTTCAGTGTGCTGCAGAGGGGCTGGCTGGGGCACGAGGGCGCTTCAGTGGGGCTAGCTGGCAGGTAACCCTAGAACTGAAGCACCCTCATGCCCCAGCCAGGCAGTCAACATCTACACGTGAGCTACTGCACACTAAAAAACTACCCAGCCAGGTAGGACTTGTATTTACAAGTACTACCCTGCTGCGGAGTTTATTTGTTTCATGCTCCCTAATACAGGTGCATGTGCAGACACTGAAATGTTTACCGTGCAGTTAATTAGGCAACTGTGTAGTAAACTTCTCATGTAGATGTGCCCAAGAAGTCTTACTGTGCAATCTAGTCCCTTGCGCAAAATAGCAGCAGGGTTAGGAAAAGGAATTGAACGTGGGTCTTCCCAAAGCCTAGATAAATTTTGTAACCACTGCAGGTGAATTTTGTAACCACTAGGCTATCTTATAAAGGAGAGTAGCAGGACTACCAGCTTCTTCCCCATTTTCAGAAAGGAGTACATAACCTTTTAAAGAAAGGATATAGGCACTTGCCTTCAGGAGAGGGTTCTGACTTGTGCGTCCTATACAGAGGGAGGCACTTCTATGTAGTACTAAAGCACCTAAGCCATAAGGGTGGGGCGTGAGGATAGGAGTGGAATTTTTAGACACACCCCTGTGTTCAGCATATCTTCATTGGCCAGCTGGTGTGTTGACTTTAGTCAAATCTTCACTCAGTGGGCTGGTTTTTGTGGATCCAGTTCTGAAACACCTAACTCTCCCAATATATTATATACCTAGATACTTGTGTTAGCTGAAGAATCTAACGAGAGTATCTGGGTTCCATTAAGGGGCTCTGGCACCCAAAGATAAAGTGTATGAACAGTCAGTTGCAATACCTACATTTCTTTCAATTCCTAGTATAATGTTTTGATCTCATTAACATTTTTTGCTTGTGCATGTTTTAAAACTGTATACACAAACACAGAAAATTACTGAAAGCCAGCCAATTGTGTGATTAGCTTGTTGGAATCACATGTTCTATCATTACTGGTATTTTACCAACATGCAGTATCTGATTAATGCAAATAATAACAATAGGAACAGGAAAAATGTGCTGAAATTTTTTGGAATAATGAAGCGCAAGACATTTGACTCATATGGGGCTTGGGGGAAAAAAATCAGAGATTAAGGAAGACATATATGTATCTTTTAATAACTCCTGTCTTCACTACCCATCTCCTGCAGATCATCTCATATTCTGGCAGAGGACATTTTATAGGCTCCATAGGCAACAAAGTTATTTCATAGTTTCATTGTTGTTAGGGGCTGGAAAGGACCTTACAGATCATCGAGTGCAGCCCCCCTGTATGTGGGCAGGAAAGACTGCAGAACTGTTTATGATTGCAGGTAGATACTCTTTAATTCATCTCTTCATACTCGCAGCAGTCCAAGGTAGGCATGAGATCTGGTTTCTTTCAATTGGCTTCCTCTTGCATTTTCCTCTTATCTGGGAGGGCCCTAACAAAACACCATTGGAAATTATCGACAGTAAGAAAGATCAATTATAAACTGGTATAAAGTTGTTTGTGGAATTCCTCAAAATGTACTTGCATTGGGGAAGAGACCTATGAGATGAACAAGATTAGCTGATGGTAAATGCAAGGTTTGTATTAAAAACAAAACATAGGTGTGACAGCTAATGCAGTATTTCATGGAGCCTACTTCACTGTGCCAGCTATCTACATCACCAATAGCAGGGTAGAAGCAGAAGTAGGCTCTACAGAGCTATTACATTCCTGACACAGATGGCCAGGATGAAAGGGATAGAATGTGCTAGCATAGCAGACCATATGCATTTACTGATTTCCTACAATATAAGTAACAAAAGGGGGACTGGGTTTATAAAGTCCCAAGAACAGTGGGGTCCTGAATGGTCCAGAGCCACTATCTCATCCTGGCCCCTTCTAATCACCATCCCCTCATGATGTCTACAAGATGTTCCAGGACTTGGTATGCAAACTGGATTTGTTACTATATTTGAAATTCCAGTGGCAATGTTGCAGGGGAAAGTCACTCAAGCTCCCAGACATTCTACATGTCTCATGTCCAGGCTATCTTTCAAAGCCTATCAGCAAAAAATCTTTAGAAACCACTAAATTGCACTGGCAACTAACTGCCTTTTCTAGCAGTAACATCAAAGAGAGCAGACTGCTGCTACCAAAAGCTGTCCCCAGGCTTTGAACAATTTTATATCTTTCACCCAACATACACACACACACCAGAATCCTTCATTATAACTGGCTAATGAAAGGTCAAGATGAAGCCAACAGAAAAGTATCACTAAGAGATAAGGAACCTCCAAAAGTTGGATTTATTTCTCCAAAAAAAAATATTCTGGAACATTATATTCTGGGAAAATATCCAGAAAAAAATGTATTGGACACTAAATCACCAAATAAGAACTGACAGTGACAAGGCCCTATTGTAACAAGTGATTATTTGAATTGAGATGCTGTCTCCGAATTTGCAAACCTACTTCCCCAAGATAAGAAGGAGCTGAGGTCATTGACTGCTGAAGGTTAACTTGCAGCACTTGTATCTCTCTACGCAGCCACAGATACAAATTCCAAATCTATGGTTACCTCAGATTGCTCCAGTCATCAGGGATCTCTCAGGTACAAATTATAATTGAAGTCTCCATCTGAGGAATGTAAGCTATGCATTGTTAAAATGGATGAGGCCTCACAGTCTCTAAAGGAAATGTATGTCACTGAAATCCTTGGGATCTGTTCTCTTTCACTAAAGAAGCAGTATTTTAAGCTTCAACCACAACAGTGGTGATCTTTTTATCCCCAAATAGGAAATGCTGACTCACTGACAAAACCCAGATATTTCCCAAGAAGGAAGTTACCTGCTTCTATCACCATGGCTGTTCAATCAGCCCTTTTTGTCACCAAGGAAGCAGATTGGACTCCTTGAGGAGCAATGTGCACATTTGTCCTGTGCTTACACGTGCACCTGGAACCACATCACATTGAGCCAGGTCAGAGCAGCCCTGGCTGACAGGGGGCCCAAGGTCAGTCTGCTGGCCTGGGTTTGCTCCCCCCCGGCTCAACTTACTGTGGAGGGGCTGGCTGGGGCACAAGGGTGCTCCAGTGTGGGGCCAGCTGGCAGGCAGCCCCCACATTGAAGCACCCTTATGCCCCACCCAGCTGGGTCAGAGTCTACATGTGTGTTGCTGCACACAAAAAAACTCTACAAGACGATAGTACTTGTATTTACAAGTACTACCCTGCTGTGGAGTTGATTAGCTTCCTGCGGCCTAATAGGGCTGCAGGTGTAGACGCCAAGACATTTACTGCAAAGCTAATTAGGCAAATCTGCCATAAACATCTCATGTAGACAGGGCCGTCTCTGGCAGGGGGCAAATCAGGCCGACCGCCCCAGGCCCTGCGCTTTGGGAGGCACCACGATCAGTGCAGTATAGGCCCCGGTGCAGCTGCTACGCACCGCTGCTGCCAAGCACCACTGCCAGCTCTGGCTGCTTGGCAGCCCCCCACCACCCAAGCCCCACACACCCCTAGGGATGGCTCTGCATGTAGATGTGCCCATTGCATGGTAACCCCATTTGGACAACCTTCAAACTCAAAAGACATGGACTTCTCAACAAATACACCTTCACATAAATGTCTTGGTGCTTCATCATGAATTGTCAGTCCTTTTAGAAGCCTATCCACCTTCCACTGGATGGGATTCTAAACGGGCTGACAATTCATGATGAACAATACTACAATCATATTTTAAATAAACAAGAGGGAGCAAAGTCTACTCCTTTACATCAAATAACTGTATGCCTATATAAGTTTTTTTCATCTGCCACAGAATTACTCTGTACATAAGCTAGGACTGCAAAATTTTATAGCAGATCACTTAAGCAGACCCTTTAGATGTGATTGAAAATGATCAGTAAAGGACACTGTAAGCTGTTAGAGAAAACAGGAAATATTAAAAAATCTGCTCTTGAAAAGTTTAGAGTTGGGGACACCTGCCCAATACCCTGATGTACATTTACCCTCCAATTCCATCAAATATAAGAGTTCTCAGGTTTTTTGCACAGGATTCAGTTAGGCTCTTAGTAATTGTAGTAGGTGTAGCCAAG